GAGAACAAATGACTTCAAGCAAAGTCTTGTCTCCTATTTTCTCATTAGCCAAAGTGCAGTATTTTTGTGTATGTAAGCTCTCCTTAACCAACAGTACACAATATTCTGTAGGAAGTGTGTAGAGTGATACGCTATTCTACAAGATTTTAAGAGTGAACTTTTTAGCAGGAACCATTCCTAATGGTTTTAAATTGTGGTACTTTTTTTTTTCCCCTCAGTCTTTAATTCTCAAGATTCAAGTCAGTCTCCAGAGTGACTCCTGCAGATTTGCTGTTTGGGGTTCTTTTCCTTGTCTGAAAGGAATTTTTATGAGTGTCACCTGTTCTTCCTGTACTCTCCTTGCAGATGGATGTTTACTTTTATAACACAATCAGTTAAAACTTGTAAGGTGATCTGAGATCTTTTAAGATCTCAAAAGAAAACCAAAATAAATTTTATAAGTCCAGAATAAGGGTGACAATGACAACCTTGAACCAGTTCTCAAAAAAAATTACAAAACAAGTTGAGAGCTGGAGTCCTAGGGTTGAAAAAGTTTTAGAGTCAATATTAAACGTATTTAAGCATAAAACCTGAACTAACTAAGGCATAAAACCTATCTACCTTCAGGAATCTTTGCCCTTGCCTGCAGAGCTCCTTACAGCTGAGTAAGGAGCTCCTAAGAGCTTACCTCCTGTACGAACTGAAGATTTAGGTTCCTAAAAACAGGGTCCCCTCAAGACCAGCTGGCTGAGCTCAGGACTGCCTACAGTATCCAGTACTGAGAGGACCCTTAAATCCCACTCAGATCTTCTACAGTTTGGCACCTATGGACACCAGCTCTTCCTACAAAACACCGCTGGAAGTAGCATTATCACAGAATCACACAATAGTTGAGGTTGGAAGGGACCTCTGGAGAGCATCTAGTCCAATCCCAAATTATCTTTATCTGTGTCCAATAACTCAGTGTTCAGGGAGAAGGTAAACACATATGTACTTGCTCAGATATGTGTTTTCAAGACAGTGACAAGATGGGGACTCGTATGAAATCAGGGCAAGTGAAAACCAGCCCTTTCCCTGGTGCCCAGTTCTAGATCCTGTCAGCCAGCACATTTGGGAGACATGGGCTCGATTTTCTCTTCTACCTGAAGAGGTTTAGACCCATGTCTTTCAAAAGTGTTCTTGATAAATTATGCCGAGGAAGGGAAGCAAATGAGTTCTCACTCTTTCCTATGCTGATATTTGCACAGAGTAATTGAAGGCTTGGGCCAGAGAGAAAGAAAGCATTTCCATGTCATCTTTTAGTGATGAAGGCATTCCCTTAAAAGTAGGGTCCACCTGACTTTCCGTCCCTGCTCCCAAAACTGAACTGTTTTTTATTTCCCTTATTCTAATTACTGTTTAATATTATCATTTCTCTTTCAGATCCAAAATGACTGAAGCAAAGTTCTCATATTTTAAAGGAGTTTATGTGGGACAAGTACTGTAAGAGCTAAAAAATCACTAAGTACTTTTTACAAAAGTGATTCAATGAGAATAAGCACAAGGTCACCAAGGCAGCTATTTGGATTTAGGTAGCTAGCTGTCCCTTTAACAGTATATATCCAAAACTAAGACCCTTAGATCCCCCACAGTCAATTGGAGATGTCTAACAACTGTAACCACATATATTTTTAAACTAAAAATCCCTGTAAGCCTAGTTCTATTTTAAGGTGTGTTTAGTATTAATAATGCTGAGAGGTTTGGCATCAACTTCAAACCTGCCTGCTGTCAATATTTTCATGTGAGATGATCTCCAGCCTGACTTTCTTGCAGATAGGCATTTCCCGAACGTGCCAAATATACAAGGCAATACACCCCCTGGCAGTTTCTGAATAAACTGACTCTCTGAGGAGGCTCAGGCTAGAAGGGCTTTCTCAAACAAATCATCAATGACATTCCCATGAGTAGAGGGCACTGGGAGGAGAAAGACTTGGGTCCCCTCCTTTATGTGGCAAAGGTCTCACTGTAGGATTGTGAGCAGTCATTGGAGAAGGGCTGGACCCCCAGCCTCCAGCCTCTCAGGAGAAAGCCCAAATATCTAGGCTAGAAGTTTTCTTTCCCTCTGGGTGGCCCTTTTTCTACAGGTTGGGCCCAAATGTTTGCATAATCAATAGATGAATGACATTTTTGCTCACTTGTTTTCCAATTAAGAGAAGAGAAGATGGGACAAAGGAGAGAAATAAAACCTGAGGGAGAATTCTGAAAATAGCATCTTGATCAACTGGGTCATGCCTGCCATGCTGGCTTTTATGAAAAATTGTCCTGCATCCATCCTTGACTCCATCCTGATAGCTGACTATCTTCTTGGCTGGGTGGGATAGGAGCAGCCTTGCTAAATTTTTTGGAAAAAAAAAAAAACCCCAAAACAGTTCATTGATAGAGAAACTCGATTTTGGAATGGCTAAAAATACTTGTACTCAACATCAGAAAAGTCAAATCCACTTGATCTTTCATTTCATAATTATATTTGACTTGAAGTTTAATCTAAGTATCTTAAAATATTAGAGAAGATAAATGAAACAAAAACCTCTGTTCTGAACTCAAAACAAAGTAGAAACCAGTTGTATTCCCCCCTTCACAACTCTGCTTTAATTTCTTATAGCTCCATTGTAGCATAAACAGCAGAGGTGCACTGAACATGCACAACACTGACTATTGACTAAAACACTTTCTGAAAAAGAAATTATTGTGGGGCTGCCCAAGACTGCCCTGACAGTCCAGGCAGGAGGCTGACGGCACTGTCACAGCCCTCCTCTAGGGGAGTTTTCTACCAGAAGTACTTCAACAAGGCCATTTGCATCAGGGGAAAATTCAATTCTTAGAGAACATCAGGAAACACTTTAAAATATTGTGACCTGATAGAGAAAAACAGGACTCGTCCTTCCCATCATGCAGCTCAGCTGACACGCTCTAGAGGACAAACCCAATGAACTTGAAAATTGAGTTAGTTTGTTTCTCAGGAATTAATGTGACCGCTTGGCTTCCATCCAAATTCCATTTCACTGTTGCTGTGGTTTTAATTTTTAAGGGTTTTTTTTATAACAGACCACAAATCAAAATAATGGGCATTCTCCTTCCCATTCTTTAATTTTAATATTTAACATTAAGCTATGTAGGGTCACAGTAAATAGAAGAATTTTTAAAAAGATAAGTAAAATTAAGCAATGCAATACCTGCTTCTTTTTTTTTGCTCCATTGTTTAAACTTCCTTAAAAGAAACTGAGTAATCAAAAATCATTGGGTTAAATACAATGGTTCTATTGGTCTAGAGAGCTGGCAATCCTAACCAATATTTATTCTTCTTAATGTTTTGACCTCAGCACTGTCTACTGTCTTTATTAGAATAGATGCAGTCTATCTTACTGAAAGGAAATGGCTCCATAAACTGATTGCTTGGAAAATGAAATGATTTCACAAGGGACAATTCCTTCTTACTGGCCTGGAAGATGTTAGCGTACTCATTTGTAATGGCTTCCCTGATGGAAACACAAGCTGTTATATTATAACAAAGAAGAGGCTGAATGGTGACTTAACTGGGGATTAACATTTGCATTTGCAAGTAATATGTCTGTTGCATTTGCATTTGCAAGAAATATCTCTTTGTAAATGGATACTCTAACTATGAAGAGACTAGTGAGAAAAACACAAAGTATAATAATTCAAACAATTTATATGGTATGCATTATGCTTATCAGAAGGAATATGTAACAGACGTCCCATTTCTCTTTTTTGCTTGCCAGAAAGCAATCCTTGATTCAAATTTTCTGTGTAAAACCCAGCTTTTTTATAGTACAATCATAGACAATAAAAACTATGACTGATCCCATTCTTCTGAGAGTGTTTTGGCATACTACCAAAAGAAGCAAAATCTGAAGAAGCCATTATAAGCAAATAGAGAAATAAGCCAATGTCAAGAACAGAAGGGGATTATTGTCAAATCTCTCTCTTACGTAAATTGGTATTGTTTAGTAGCATCAGTCACATTTCTGTCCTAAAGAGGTTCACTTTGGTGTTTATGGTTGGAGTTTATGAAAGCTGAGAGTCCAGCCTCTGCTCCTCTTTTCCCCCAGTTCCCTTCTGGCCCAGCATCCGATTCCTGCGCATCGGAGGGGAAGGGTGGCACCGAGAGCAGCTACTTCCCGGTCCTCCCACAGCACAGGAGCTGCTGCTCGTGTGCTGGTGTCCTCCGTCAGAGGGGGAAGGGAGCGTGCTTCCCTCCTGTCAAAAAACTAGGACTAGCATCATGTTTTCCCACTGCTCTGTGTTTATCAGATTAACCAGCAGCAGACGTGGCCTGGCTTGTAAATACAGAACCTGATCCAAAGCCCACTGAAGTCCACACTAGGAGCTGTGTGTGCATCAGAACCAGGAATATTAGCTTATCCAAACCATTTTTGTACAAAGATTTTAAAAATTATAAGAAAAGGGTTGAGAGAAAAGCAGTCTTTTGATAGTTTTGGGGTGGTTTTTTTGGACCAGAGTCTGACCTAAAGCATACTGTGGCAAGGGGGTCTTTTTTCAGTACTCTGTGGACCAGATCCTTAAAATACGGTCGCAGCAATATCACTACCGTATTACATGATTGCTCCTTCTCACCCTGCACTCAGTTGGAAGGTATTCAAGACAAGCCCAAATTTATACCAAAATATTTGCCATGTGTTTCAGATAAGGCATAATAAACTTTGAACACAGCAGAACAGATTTTATGTCCAATATTTCCTTTTAAATTCATTTATCTTTCTCCCTCCCTCTTCACTGTCACACCCCTGCACCCTCACATTTTATGTGACAGCGTTGCTTTAGTACCTTCAGTAAAATAGCCTCAGCCAGTGAAGCAAACGCAAGCACCTTATGAGGTGTGACTAACTTCTGGGTGCAGCCCTTTTCCTTTGCTGCTGTTTATAGATGACATAGGAGCCCTTGTTGGCCCTGCAGCTCGCTTAATTGACTTAAAGCTGGTAGTGAGCAAGCGAAACAGAAACATGGCATTCGTTAGCTTTTTGATCCCCTGCTTTGTGATCGGCACTGATATTGCTTTCTCTTGCCAGAATACTGATGACTTCGTGGGCGCCAGTTCTCCGGGGGACATTGTTATTGGAGGCTTGTTCGCAGTTCATAGCGAAATGCTGCATCCAGAAGAACATCCCATAAAGCCAGTAATTCAGAATTGCGCTGGGTGAGTAATACTCGAAATTACATCTATAGCAAAGAGGAGATCACTGACATCGGGCATGTACATCTTATATTAAGATCCACAAAATCTGGTTCTCTTGCATTTCTTAGTCTTTAAAAAGACCTTGGACATCACATAAATCACACTTAAATTAATACAGGATGACAAAGTATGGCAAAGTTACAGTAAAAAATACTGTGGCTGCCTGAGGAAGGGAATGAGCATTTGATCCTATTTCAATCTTCATATATAATCAAATAGCCCTGGAGGTTTGTGCTGAACAGACATTTAATTTCCATGTAAATGCTAATTTGTTGCTATATGTCTGAAGTACTCTGCTGTGCAGTTGTTCATTATTTGTTTTGAAGTTGCACCTACATGATTTGAACACAGGCAGACTGTTCCATTTTACCTAAGCACATATTAAAGTATGTCCCCCACCTCACAGGGCAGCTCAGCTGTACTCTATGATAGTACTTTGCTGACTAGATTGTAATGATTGTTATAATTACTGTAATTATTACACCTTGTTTTATAATCATTGCATTATGTTATAGGATAGATTATATATAAACATGTCATGGATGCATTCAGGCTCAGGCTGTGCATCAGAATATTTATTTTGTTGGTTCCAAATCCTACTGTGCTTGAAACATCCATTTTTCTGGAAAGAATGCACAGGAAACCTGGTGAAGAACTTCATTTTAAGTATATAATAAATCTTTCCTAAGGCCAGGAATTCCAAATATGCTTTTTCTTTAATTTTAGTACAGGTGCAAATCCTCAAATTTTATTTGAGTTTTACCTGCAACTTAATCACAAATTTGAATGTAACAATCAGCTGGACATGCAGGTGTCCATCTGGATTTATTTCAAAATGATGACGAAGTTGATAATTTTGTCAGTCTTCCATTTTTTTTCTAGAGAGTCATAAATTGTTTCAGGTCCATTTGAAATTTAATTTGGTTTGCAAGATTTGTAAATTTTAGAGAAGCTTGCCTGAGAGGAGGGTTGGTTGTATTGCAGACATTTTGTGCTAGCACAGTTCTGATGATTAAGCATCTGTTATAATATCCACTGTAGATAAGGGGAATAGCTGCACTAACTTCGCCAGGTTTAGAGAGGATTTTAGGAACATCGATGCAAACACTAGAAGACCTCAACCTCTGAAATATTTTCTTCTATTCTGAAATATTTAGTCCTTTCTCTTTTTTTGGTGAAAGTAAATACATTTTTAAAAAAGCTTACTGGGCAGATGAAGCAAATTGGAATAGTTTCACTGACTTTGACAGATGCGTCCTGAAGATATCACTTGCAAATTTTCATGTAACATGAAAACTAATTTTTTAGTACCTGTTTTTTTCAGAAAAACACTTTTATTCAGGTATATCTTAAGTTTTGTGTTTATTTTGCTTAATCTCCCATTTAGGTGAGACAAAAATATACGGTTTCTAATCTTTTGGACACTAAAACCCAAGCAAATCACACAAAACTTACTATCCATCACTTCTTTTCAGTAGTTGTCAAATTCTAAGGGATATGCTCAAAATGGACTTTGCTTCAGCCCTGTTCCCAGCAATGTTTTTCTAAAATAAAACTTCTGTGTTTCCTGACAGCTTCGAAATTCAAATTTTTCTTCAGACACTTGCCATGATACATGCCATTGAAACGATCAACAATTCAACACTGTTATCTGGAGTTACTCTGGGCTACGAAATCTATGACACGTGTGCAGAAGTTACAAAAGCCATGGGGTCCGCCCTGAGGTTCCTGGCTAAATTCAATTCTTCGAAGGACGTTGTAGAGTTCAAGTGTAACTACTCAGACTACGTCCCGAGAATTAAGGCAGTCACTGGAGCCAGCTACTCGGAGGTGTCAATGGCAGTTTCAAGGCTGTTGGCTTTGCAACTAATCCCACAGGTAGGTTTGAGGGAGCTATTTCATTTTGGACAGAGGATCAAATTTACCACGCTTAGAATAAAGGTGTGGCTCTGATCATAGGGATTGCAAAAGCCACATATTTGCTACAGGGCAGGATTTGACTCAACCTAAGGACATCAGGAAGGGTGAGATTCAACTCCAAATGAAGAGATTGATTCACTTGCCTAAACAAAGGCAGTAAGGGCTATTTTGTATGCCCGAGGCACATGCCTCCGAGTGCTGTTTCAGGATGATGCTGGGTCTTGTCAGCCTGGCAGCACCATTAGTCAGTCCTGCATGCCTGTGCCAGTTACTCTAGTGTACCTCAGATGCCACTCAAGGACTTTGTTCAGGCAACCAAGTTACATCCACCGTGTCTAGTCTGAACATATGACAATACCCAAGCAGAAGCTGAAAAAAAAAAAAAAAAAAAAAGAAAAGAAAAAATCAAATTTAGCCAGAAATTTGGAAATTCTCTCCTGCCTGAGATAGGTTGGATTTTGTAGTCTGTTTTAACTATGGGCAGGGAAGTGAGGAATATTGCTCTAAAACACAGTTTTACCCCTGTTACTCTTCAAGCAGCTACAGAAAAGAAGGAATACAACTCTCTAGATCCACACTGGTCCTTCCCAAAAGATCCGTCTCTATTTCTGACCTCTCTAGGATGAGTACAGTCCCACACTTGCACTTAGGCTGGTGCTTGCATTTTTACTTTCACCATTGTAAAAGAGTTGGGGTCCAGGCCAGGACCAACAAGGAAGAAGGAGATCCACTTCCACACCGTCATGTGTTGCACGTTGGGTTGGGCGATTTGACATAAATTACCTTACTGCAAAGTAGCAACATAGTAACCAAACAGGTGCAAAAGACGAAAAATCTGAACTGAACATAACTTCTAACTGAATCTTTTCCTCTGCAATGGTAGGAAGTAATTATGACCTCCAGCTCCACCACGGGAGCAATACTAAGTATGAAAATTAAATGCCATGCTTGGACATAATCAAAAGGCAAGTGATGAAACAAATCTGCATTGGGACACAGAGATGAAAAAGGTGACCCAGCAGATTTTTCTCATCAATAGCACCTGTAATCTTCTGACAATAGTAAGATTTGGTATCCCCTCCAGGCAGGCGACTCTCATTTTGGAAAGCTTAGATTTATTTTTTAAGAACTGTCAAGCAGTGTATGAAATATAAATGTAGGGGGAAAACCTCCTACAAACAAACAGAAAAGGATTAAAACTAAAAAAGAGATTTAAATAACAATGTTCCATTTACCTTTTTCTAGCTACATTCACAAGGAAAAGGTAATAAATCTTTTATATGAAAGAATCATAGCATTCTGTAATATTGGATACTGTTTGTTTTTCTGGGAGGTTCTTCTAACAGACTTAATGGCCCTTTTAAAATATGGTAATTAAATCTTGGGAAGAAAATATGTATGTGGGTGAACCATACTAACATACTCAGTGTTAGAAAAATACTGCAAAATGTACTGCAAAAAGGGTACTATCAATTTGAATAATAACTCAAATAATACTTAATGCTTCCAATGTTTTAAATATTGTTTTGAATAGCAAGTTGATGGTGTCTGAACAGAGTAAACCAAAATCCTTATACCAGCAAAACTGTCATATCCATTTTGAAAGGCTTTATTCTCTGCCTTTACTGAAGTAAGTAATTACGTGCATGAGGATGAAAACAGTGGAAGCGGTACTGGGCATAAGTCTGCATCCGAATAGCAGGATGAGGGAACCCGCCCCATTTGGCTGCACCTGGTTGATGTTCAGTCACAGGAGGATAGAGCCCTGGGTCAGGCTGGATGAAAGAGCAATCGTGGCAGTTTTGGATCTCTTGGCATCCTTTGGAGGAAACCTCTTCCATAACTGAATTGTTCGCTCTTCCTAGGTCAGTCCTGCGTCATCAGCTGAAATCCTCAGTGACAAAATCCGGTTTCCTTCTTTCTTCAGGACTATCCCCAGTGATTTCCATCAGACAAGAGCAATGGCCCACTTGATCTGTGAGTCTGGGTGGAACTGGATTGGAGTAATAGCCACTGATGATGACAATGGGCGCTTTGCTCTGGAGAGCTTTGGGGTGCAGGCCATGGCAAACAATGTTTGCATAGCTTTTAAAGAAATGCTGCCTGCCTATCTCTCTGACAATACCTTTCACACCAAAGTTGACCACGCAATTGAGAAGATTGTCAAGGAAACCAGAGTGAATGTTATTGTTGTCTTCATGAGACAGTTCCATGTGCTCAAACTGTTTAAGAAGGCAGTTGAGAGGAATGTAAAGAAAATCTGGATTGCAAGCGATAACTGGTCGGCTGCAGTCAAAATCAGTACAATTCCCAATATCAGACAGCTGGGGACCATTGTGGGATTTGGATTTAAAAGCGGAGACATCTCCACGTTCCAAGACTTTCTGAGAAACCTTCATGAAAAGCCCACTGACAACAACAAGTTTTTACAGGAATATATTATGCTTTTGTCAGTCTGTGCACACCTGGAATACCACGATTTTCAAATGTGCATTTCAAACCAGTCCCAGGATGTTCTACTGCAAAATGTTGAAAATAAACATCAGATCTGGAGAGATGATTTTTTGAATGCTAATATTGAACCAGGATTTATCCATAGTACTATGCTTGCAGTCTATGCCATTGCTCACGCCATTAAAGGGCAATGCAAAGACAGAAACTGCAGGGATCCCTCTGCCTTCACTCCCTGGGAGGTATGATGTTAATTTTTTCAGATCTCATTCTTTCTGCAAAGCTTTCATCTCATTTTTGCTCCCACATTCCTGGATTTACTAGCTTGGTCCTTTTACTAAATGACCTTTTATTCCTGTTCCTGCCTTTCTTCACTAACTGAAATCACAGACTATATGCTAGAGCAGCAGCATTTGCAGTGCTGAGAACTAGAATCCAGTTTTGTCTCCCTTTTTTTGGCCCAGGTAGAGACAGAAACTCCTGGTGCTAAGCCATGGCCATGTTCTGCTGTAGACAGGGAATGATTATGGCATTTCACATACAGATAGCTAACTGCTCATGAGTAACTGCATACCCACCATCTCCTCCTTCATCGATACAATAGCAATGGCTGTAAACATGTGACTCCACAGGTGCAGAAGGGATCTTTAGCTGCTGGGCTTCATTAGCTACCCTAACACTTCCCCCATCACCTTCAAAGAACACACAGAGCAGGCACCAGCTTGGATGAAGGCTCCAGTCTGTAGGCTCCTTGCTGGAACATCTTGCTAGCTACTCATGTGGGATAGAATAAAATGTATAATCCATCTACAGTTGACTTATCTGCTATTCAGCTACTAGTGGTCGGTCCTGTTGCTGCAAACCACTGTAATACACAGCAATGAGTGCTCTTGAGAGATGGGGATATTGCAGGATAGGGGCATTTACCAAAGATTTTCAATTTTCCTCTCTCTCTCTCTCACCATTGTCTCTGTTTTGTCTGAATTCAGGCATTTTCCTCTATAATGAATCTTTACTTGGAAGTGAAAATGCAACAGACTATTCCTCTGTCTGATCTTGATTTATACTGAAGTGACTGGTAGGAAAATTAGACACGATCTTTAAGACGGGTGAGGTACTTGTTAACAAACCCTACTGGGTGGGAAAAGAAGAGGAAAAATCAGACAAGTAAACCTGACCTGACCTTTTACCCAAGAACCTGCTCAGGAGTATTCACTTTTACACACTTTTACTCAGAGGTTTAAACAAAAGTTCATTTAAAAGTCAAACAACCACTGAAGCACTCTGACTTGCTCTGACCTCTTGTCCTAGGTCAGGGCAGGTCAAATCAAGATAGGGGATTTGAAAAAAAAACAAACCAGTAACAATCAGAGTCTTACATGAATTTGTAAATGCAAATGGGACAAATTCAGGACTGCTCTACAGGGGATGCAACTTTATGGAACTGCATTTACATCAGTGCTGAATTAGAACCCAAACCACCCAAATTAAAAGTCCTGTTAAGAGGCTAAGAACTCATGAAGAAATCTGAAAGAGAAAGTTATTCCCCCTGTGCTGTTTTCGTAATACATTTCCTCTACACTGAATTTAAAGCCTCTAGAAATGGATATATATATATATAAAGCTTAGGATGCAACTAATCCATATCACACATCTCCATATATAAAGAAACAACAGAGTCATTGGTGTTACAGACTGCAAAAATAACCATCAGTTACATCAAAATGTTGCTAATATTTAGCCCCTTCTGTCTGCAGCTCAAGATGTATTCAAAAAGCTCTGTTGTTCCCATATTGTTAGTGAAAATGGAAAAGTGGAGACGAAAAAGATGAAATGGCTAGCCTGAGTATATATAATAAAAAAATTCCTATTCAGTCCCACACAACTATCTAACTCAAATGCAATATTGGTTAGAAGCACACTTTGGTTCTTCATAAGTTGGTAGAGATGCAGTGAGAGTATATGAACTCTCAAAAAAAAAACATTATACATGAAAAAATGACAGGTTATATACACCAGATGTGTAATATATATATATATTTGCCAAAGCCTATTGAAGTAATATACTTGTCAGTATGTTCATTAAATGCTACAAATATCACAAATGAATCCATGTAGGAGCGTGCTTTTCAAAGGGCAGTTAAATCCATCCTTTCACCAAAACCTTGGGGTTTTTTTTTGTTAATCCCTGTTGCCAAAAATCTTTATGCCTGCAAAGGGATAAAGCTTTTGCTTCAAGTAAGAACCACGGCAGCTAATGAAAGTCCTTCTATAGTCTCCCCATGAATTGGGAGTGGATTACACGTGCCTTAACCTGTCCTTTCCCAGATTCCCACAGAACTTTTTGATCTGGCTGTTTGTGATGAGGGAGACAGAAATTTCCCCCTGTGAACAGAATGGGTTGCAATATGAAGCTGGACAGTTGCCTTATTAAAGCACGCTTGTTCTGATATTTCCTACAATCTATCAAACATGGCCTAGCCGTTTATTGCCATTGTGCCATTAATCATTTCATCTGAGCAAACTGGCATGTATTGTTCATTTAACAGTTCCGAGTCTCACCTTGCAATACACACTATCAGTCAGAGTCACAGCTGAAAACAATGTTAGATATTTCCAGACACACTGGGGGACGTTACTCTGGAAGCAAATCTTGCCCAGATCAACTCTGGTGACAGTAAAGTAACAACAGGAGCATCATTCACAGTCGTTCTTTACAAGAAGGGGAGTTCCAAAAGGCCATTAGTTGCTGCAAGCAAAAATCTTTTCTTTCCCATCATCGTATCAAAATTTCCAAGGACAGAAAAAAATATTAACATGAGTATTTGTACACATTGCATAGAGTTAAAAAATGATGATTTTTGTATTAATAGATTTTTAAGGTCAACAGGATTGTCTGAATAACATAATTCTGCATAGGACATCAAATTAAACAGTTATAAAGATGCCTGTTAATTTTAATATTTCTTTTACTCCTAAAAAGCAACATTTCTTTTTAAGTTGATATTATCACACAGATGTTAAACTATTGAGTTTATCACACTGACATGATACTGATGTATGTTATTGTTCCTTATACTTATGTTCAGCTCCTTGAAGAACTTAAAAAAGTTACAGTCATTGATGATGGTAAAGAAATCAAGTTTGACTCCAACGGAGATATGAGCACCAGTTACAATTTACTTCTTTGGAAAGAAATTGATGGCCGCATGGAAATCACCACTATGGCAGAATATGACCCAGAGAAAGGTGGCTTTATCTTTGAGGATGAGGAGAAAAAAAAAGAATTTCTGGATTTAAAGGTAACTTTTAATTTGTTGACATAACATGTGAAATTTGCTTCATGTGTTTTCTTCTCCCTCCAATATTTGCAATGGAAGTATGTGTCAGCTAGAAATCTCTCTTGTGGTTTCATGTTCTCCTCTTAGAGCAAAGAATCCTCTCTGGGTTTATTCCACCACCTTCATGCTCCCTGAGAACCATGTTAGCCTGTGAGCAGGCTCAGTGATTTGAAATTGAGCTATTTCTCCAGAATGCTTCTAAGAGGTCAACTAAGATAAGCAATAGAAGTTATGTCTGTCTTAAGGATGCTATTCCAGAATCTTGAAAAGGGGGTTTAAAATAAAAAATGACTGTGTATAAAAGCCCCCTCTCTTATGTAACACCACCATTTATTTTCTACATGAAGACTCATATCTGTTGACTTCACTGTTTAAAAAAAAAAAAAAAAAAAGAAAAAGAAAAAAGGGTTTTGTCGATTATTTGCTCCTGTTAGAGCTGGGGTGAGCATAACTGCAGGAGTCTGAGGTAGGTAGCACCACCTGGAGCCCTGGCACTGGTGTAGACAGGACTAGTGGGCGGCCCCGGCCAGTTCCAGCTGAATAATCTGTCATCTGTGCATGGATGGAGGTCTTAGTTCATTGTGCTGCAAAGTAGGCACCACTAACGGGACGGGGAGAGGTTGCTTACTAGGTGGGCTGAATTCGAGCCTCAGCTGATAGAAAAGGCTGAGGACAGAAGAAAACCTCAAATCTTGTCCCTCTTTCTGGCACTGCCCAGGATGGCACGGAAGTGTCTCCACCTCCTTGTGAGCAACCATCCTGGAGAGACAAGAAATAGTAGTGTCCCTTAGGACTGCTTCTCCATTTTACAAAAAATTGTCTTTGGAAGGAGGACCTGAACGCAGACCTGGAGAGAAGGCCCTGATCATACCCCCCAGGGTCGTGCTTCACGACTCAGGGATGAGCTGCCGAGGGTCAGCAGTGTCGGAGCTGCAGTGCAGAGCACCTGCCGAGGCATCTCCCCCGAGTCGAGGTGTCTCCACTGGGCTCAGAGCAGCCGAGCAGAGTTTCAGGATCTCACTTGTGAAGCAGTCCACTCGAATCCCCCACCAGATACTTCTGGGCTTTCTTTGGAGCTGATCCTCAGCAGTCTAAATCCCAGGTTCAAAGCTGGATGAGACACTTTGAGCTGGATTTTAAAGGTACAGACAGTTCCACTGATCGGCATTCAGGGCCAAAAAATAAAATTATCAGGTAGATAATGCCCCATCCTGTCATTTGTTGACTGTGTGGAGAAAATGCAAGAAACAGGGAGCCTACAATGCCTTTTTCAGCATCATTTTCAGATTCCCTTAAAATATGTTAGATACAAAAAGAGACTGCAAATTGCAGAATTACTGGATGTTTATTTTAATGGTTCTTAGTAATTAGTTGGGCCTGAGCTGATTTTTTTTGTTCTCTGCACACTGCAGAAGGTTCAGTCAACATGCTCCCAGCACTGCAGGCCAGGACAGATGAAAAAGGTTACAGAAAGTCCGCACACATGCTGCTACGAGTGTGTTTCCTGCCCAGAAAACCATTACAGCAATCAAACAGGTAAGGAATTGTGATCCAAATAAAGGTTTATTTAGACATCAATACAATTATTTTGTTTGGGTATAATGTGTCTTGGCAACCTTGGGTATAACTTTGGAATGGGATTAAAATATTTGTTTATGTTCAGTTTCCCAAATACGAGTGTTCGGCCTATAAAACTTGGTTTAAATGCTTTTTAGAAGGCCAAACATAAAGTAATTCGATTTTCCAGTTGACTAAGATTATCCTTGGTTAGGATGGAAAGTCTGACTGATTTATCAGTGAGACTGACTCTCATTAAAATAGAGCCTTCCTTCCCTGTCTTTCTGCAGTACATCCAGGCCAATAAGGAAGAAATTCTTCACTATGAGGGTGGTGAGACACTGGAACAGGTTGCCCAGAGAAGTTGTGGATGCCCCATCCCTGGAAGTGTTCAAGGCCAGGTTGGATGGGGCTTTGAGCAACATTCATGGTCTAGTGGAAGGTGTCCCTGCCCATGGCAGGAGGGTTGGACTAGGTGACCTTTGAAGGTCCCTTCCAGCCCAAACCATTCTATGAGTCTACGAAGTTCAAGGGTTATGTATTTTGCTTACCAGCATATTTTTTGTCTTACCAGGGAGTACTGTGAAGCTTGATATAACTGTACAGTAATATTTTCTAGTATCAGATCTGATGTGTACTTTACCACTGGTTCATTTATAGGTTTGAGCAAAATTTTTTAAAGGGGAAAATTAAATATGAAGGAGAGAGATGGAATTAAGAAAATTGCGGTACAATGTACTTTTAATATCCTGAGAGCAGAAGGAAAATAAATTTTATCTTTTTAATTCAAAGAATTGTGAAATTTCTCCATATCAGAGGGTAGGAATTTTAATGCAAAAGTAACCTTTCAAAGCATAATCTAAAGCAATGTTTATTCTTGCTGTTGTATTTCAAAATCTGTCTGTAAAGAGAAAGATGGGTTTTTTCCTTGTCAAAATAGGTAAACAAAAGAAACATAGTTCCAGTTTCTGCAAGAGAATTGATTTACTCTCAAGTCATTGTTCAGGTTTCAGTGAAAGTTTGCCTGTCCAGAGCTCTGGCCAGGTTATGTATCGCCAGCCAG